TACTGTACCTTTACATTTCTAGAAGCACTTTTCCACAGTTTAAGAAACTGTTTTCCTTTACATATAAGAGATGCATTTTTTAAAGATATTTATTGTCTGTCTTTTTTATAATCTAGACTGTATGTATCTAATATCATACACTATAAACAGTACTGTACCTGTATACAGTACTGCATTTGTTTCACCCCTATTATTTTTCTTACCAAAATCAAAGTGTTGTATTGTAAAGTACAAATCAAGTTCATTATATTTTTGAATAAAGGCAGACAGACAACTGAATAATAAAATCCACTTTATGGTCAAGGAGACTGTTGAGAGATTTGTACGATGCATCACGACAGAGCACATCACAGTGAAGACTCCTGTTGCCCATTTGGTGAGATATGCTTTACAGCAGTGGTTCTTAAACTTATTTGCCTCACACCCCTCCTCTGCATAAGTCCTAGATCCCAGGCCCCCCCCCATCCCCTGATGCAACCCTTGGTTATTATAGAGTGGGAGGGATGAGCAATCGTGTACAAGACCCATTCAATTCCTGACCAGACTTTTTTCTCTGACCGCTCGCGCCCCCCTTGGAATCTTCTGGCACAGGGGGTGCGCCCCCCAGTTTAAGAACCACTGCTTTACAGCATACAGCATATTATCATAATGGACCATGTACTGAAAGTGATGAATGCACTGTAACTCTACCCACCAATTTGAATTCATATGAATCCAACAGTTGTCTCAGGGACCAGTGAGGAAAATCAGGTCAAAGTCTCGACTCTACAGCTTGTTCAGTCAAGTCCCTCTCTGACCACATCTGGGGAGATCATAATCTATCCTCAGTTCCCTGCCAATTTAAGTCTTCACTCAAGGGAAAAGAGTTGGAATTCAGTCTCTCATTAATTTCCTCAGCCATAAACAGTGATTTTATTCTTTAATTCTCTATTTATGGTCTACAGAGCTTTGCAAAAGATATGACAACTAAACCATCCTGGGAGAAATGGGTGGTGGTGGTCGTGTGTCTTGAAAATGTCCATAACGTATCCCAAACTACCATAAGTACGAAGCAATGCCTCAAAACATGAGACTGACTTTATGCTTCCTAGAGCCATATGTAAGTGGAACTGGGTGTTCGTCCTTTAGAGATCTTAATTCACATACCATACATTGGATGAATTAAACATTTTGCTCCAAGAAAGATATATTGACATTTAACTCAGGAGAGTCAATGAGATGATGCAACCACAAAGATTTTATTCTTAGGCTGGCAAGCTTAAAAGTGAGTGTTTTGTGGTGCTGAGAAGAAAAAGAGACCCAAATTTTCGATTCTCTATGTGTTATTTAAGCATTTCCGACTTACGACCATTTCGACTTACGACCTGGATGTCAGTCCCTAACCCCGTCGTAAGTCAGGGAGTGTGTGTGTGTGTGTGTGTGTGTGTGTGTGTGTGTGTGTGTGTGTGTGTGTGTGTGTGTGTGTATATATATATATATATATATATATATATATATATATATATATATATATATATATATATATATATATATATATATATATATATATATATATATATATATATATATATATATATATATATATATATATATATATATATATATATATATATATATGCACACACACACACCGCATATACGGTAGTAAAGCCTGTACTGTATATACAACAGGTAGTCAGAAACTCGGATCTGTTAGTTTGGTGTAAGATAACGAGTTTCCTTTAAGGCATAAGATTAATGTCCATAATGGGATTAAAAATTAAAGTGTTTTACATCACTATAATACCAAAAACTTTAAATACAGGTATTGTAATAATTCTCTGGCATTTCAGGCAAGAACTTTAAACATGGAACTCAATCTTATGCCTTTAGGAGGGTTTGAATGAAAAAGCCAGGATCAACTGAAGATTAGCCCCCCTTCTTAACCAATGTAGGGGTGATTAAACTTAAGGTGAGACATACTGGGGGCCAATCTTCAGGCGATCTGTGAGGCATATGTGCCACCTGTTGCAGTTAACCCAGTCATAAGGAAGAAATTACAATCACAATTACATTTTATAAAAAATTTTGCTTCCAAACAATATAAAACCATAGCTACTGTATATAATCAACAAAGTATTCACTAAAGAGCCAGTACCGTCATAAACACAAGGAACAAATATTAGTTCCCCATTTTAAGCATTGACGATATTAATTAGTCAATATTTACAGGAATAACATTGCTCACCAGTCACTGGCATGATAAATTCTATACAAATTTTCTACCACAATGATCAAATATACTAAGAAGTATATATGAAGGAGATTCCCATCATATATTCTTACCATTAAGTCAGAGAACAACAACAGGTTAAAGAGGATAAAACAATTTCATCAATAGCAATAAAAACTGAAGTACTGTTTATAACTACCGGTACACTAAGTGAAGATGTCCTGTACTACATTCACAAACTCCAACCAAACATTTAAAATTGATTAACAGAAAAAGAATGATAGAACATAACCTAAATCTATTATTCTATTACATTCACATGAATCAGACTCCACAGTGGGAAACTGAACAAACTGCACTGATTCAGTTGTTTGTGTCTTCTCAACATTGAAATTGAACAAAGCCAAGAAAAAAATAGCACCCAAGCCTTCTTCTATAATACTGTATAGAGAAAAATAAACTCTTTATTTTCTTAGATACAAAAACAAACTAAGCACTTTAATTCTCTTAATAAGAATCCATTTTCAATATTCCTGCAGCACCTGGGGTGCAAAATGCATATGGAACCTCTCCTTTAAAAATACTTTTCAGCTCTCTCAGCAACTCTTGAATTTACACTGTAATCATTAATTACTTTTCATTCAATTTGCTAGCATCACCTCATCAAAACATACTGTACAGTACCTTCTAAATCCTTCTTCCTTTACTTAGTCTTACACAGCATCAGAATGTTTACATGATTCTCTAAAAATAATAATAAATTGTTCAAGCAACAAAGAAATAGTATTCTTAATATCCTTGACTGAGAAACAACTGGCACTTTTCATTTACTCACAGTAAACAAGAGACTAATATAACAAACCAAGTAAAAGAATGTGGAGATGGTGCCAGTTGCAAGTGAGCACACCAGGGCATTGTAAGTCATACCGACCCCAGCCGGCACTCTTTTAGAGTTTTAGCCTTCTTGACACGAGTCAACGAGCCAACTTCATGGTCCTGGGGAATAAAAACTCATGGGTTACACTCCTTGAGCTTTAATAATAAGTGCAGCATATACTGTATATCTCTCCTTTCGATTTCTGTAGTTCATTCAAAACTTATGCTAGTCAACAATAATAAACATTAGGCCCAAAAATTAGTGGATGTGATTCAGGATAACATTTGTTATTTAGTGTTGAGTTTCTAAGGTGAATACTTAAAAATCATACATCAAATACTGTACAGTACTGTACTTGAAACAAATACTGTAGTATTAAACATTAGGAGTACTGTAGCAGCTATCAGTGCTATGACTCCTAACTTGTGGTTGGATGATAGTTAAAAGTCTCCTTTATTACCCTAGATGAGCTGTAGGGAAAGGAGCAGACATTTTGAAAAATAAACTTATATAGTGTTCAGTTTTACAAGTTTATCCATTAAGCAAAAATGAAAAACAACCAAAAAGTAACAGAGAATATTCTTCAGTCTCACAATAACTGTTGAGGATCACATAGAGTAGGTACTGTAGTTGAACCTCAGAATCAAATTATAATGTAAGGGAGCCTTAATTAGTACTGTATAAGTGAAATCCTTCAAGTGTTTATTTAGCACAGCATAAGACTTTACCTAGCACAGTTAAATTAGTCTATGTAAGCAAAATGATGAAAATGTTTTATCTGAACCTTGCTGCATAAATACAACTTCTATTATTGAAAATTAATGTAGACACTGTAAAACCTAAAAGCTCTTTCTATTAATCATTGTTAACATCATTATCATAATCCGAACCATTGCCAGATGATTAAAAAGTTAGTTAACATGCTACATCAGCTCTTGTGCTTATATAATTATTGAATGTGTTTGTATTATAAGGTCATACAGTATTGCATTTCCCACAACAAAATTACTACTGTCACATCATTCGACAAAATACTTTCAGCAAAAGTCAATATCTAAACGCACAATAACCTATTTTGGCTAGAAACAATAAATTCAGTCATACACCTTCTTTGTTCTTTCAAGAGCTAATATGCCCCTTTAGCTGTTCAGATTCCTCTTCAATCCATCCCACCTTACCCCATGTACTGGTACATGCACAGCAACTTTCTTCTTGCAGTCATTTCCTTGAATGACTCAGCTACATTCTCTTTCTTCATCTCATCAACATTTACTGCCTTACTCTCATATCTTTCATTTATTTTTCCTTCAACTTTCATTTCACTATTACAGACACAAGAATAGCATATATAGAAAGTAAAAAACTCAGTGGCTTTAGGCCCTTCTAATTTTCTTAAGCAGTCAGTCGGTTTTTTCTTTTTGTTTTACTTATGTTAACCATTATTGTCGAATATTAGTACAGGAGGAAACTGAGCACCCAGAGAAAACTTGTGATATTTGGTAGTCACCCTGGATAACACCATTCTCACACTGACTCAGGCCAGAGATTGCACTCAGAAAACAGTAGTTAGAGGCATGCACATTACCATGGCCAAGACTTATTGTCAATAAAAGAATGGCTGGGAAATCAAATATTTACTCCTATAAACATGCAAAGTAGCACAGAGTGTATTCCACTTTCCTGTCAACTTTCTTCACAAAGATCCACATGATAAGAATTTACGGCTGCTAGAGCTGTAATTTAAATTTTTGACCCAATAATCCCATGAGTAACGTACCCATTTATCCCCAGATGGAAAAAATAGCTTGTAATCTCAAATCTAAAATCTAATACGACTTCCATTGTGAACCTGCATTGATCTTCTTGCAATAGAATTGAGTAAATCTGGTGGTATCTCACAATACATTCCAGTAGTTTTTAGTACATTTTATTTATCCTTCATCTTGTGACTATAACACACATAATAACTACAAATTACCCGATGTATTATTGCAGTGAATACCTTTACAAGCCCCACATGCTAGAAAACAATGCAATCGTAACCTGCATTTACAAAGCAGAGCCTCACAATCTATTGCATTCAAAAGGTAAGCTGGAGCTGGCCGTAAATCTGTGGACCCAGGGACCATCTTATTGCCATGTATCATCTACCCCCCTTCCTCTGCAGGTAAATCTCTCCCAGACCGCTGTTGACCTTGATGGTAAACACGAAGGCCGTGATATTGGGCAGTAGCAGATTCTGTGGCTTTACCCATGTTTTACTTGAGGATACATTTTTTTGGGAGTCTCAATCTGAGTTTGTCTACAGTACAGTATCTCCAGGTTCACCATGATACAAGAATACTAATGCATTTTCCACAGTCTTGATTATACCAGAGCAATCTGCTTCTGTGTACCTGATTACAGGAGCTTGTTGCTGGAAGTACAGACTGGATTTAACCAGTTTCAGGGCAGCAGGTTTGACAAGACCAACCAAGCAGGATGTGGTCTAACACCCCAGGATAGCATGAATGAACAGAAGATAGTCACATACATCCTTATCAAGTGACTGCTGAAGCTGTCCGATATTCCAGCACTTTTTTGGAGTCTTAGACTGTAGGTTCTATTCTGGCCGGAAGTACAGCTTAAAGAGTATGTCCTTTGCCTCACTACAAAGTAAAATAAGGTGAGTGTCATTTCCAACCAAGACTGTGTCATGCTTTCTGGCCAATGCAATAGCAGTTTGAGTGATCAAGACATCAGCATTCGCTCTGGCATGAGGTGTGTCACAGCCTTCTCGCCCCGTCTGATGCTGAGCATGTCCACAAATTGTTGCTCATTCTCAGTGTTGGATAAGAACTTCCCATTACGAACTGTACATAACATGTCACTGGTGAATTACACTGTGGGACCTGGATCACCTTTAGCTCGCCTTGATTAGACTCCATCTTTTGTTGTAGGACCAGAATGATATCCATCAAAGATGATGGTAGCCTGACCAAATTTTGACATTACATAGCGAGCAAAATGATTTAATATAACATCCCGTGTCTCACCAATCTTCCATGGAACTCGTTGAAGGATATAACCAACATCGAGAATGTTATGAATATTTTCGGGTAAGGTGTCTTGCTTGTTAGGCACTCTCCACCACAAACAAATGGCCAGTGGCTGCTTCTCAACTTCTAGTAGTACGTGAGGTAAACTGAAAACAATTGGAGGGTAGCTGTAAAGCTTATGTTGGATCACTCGAGTCCAGTTTATCAGTGTTTGCGCCAGCTGTGACTAGCCGCTGAAACAGCAGTTGAGGATCGATTGATACAGATTGGCCCAGCATCCCATCCAGAATCTTGTGACCTACAATAACAGCCATGTCAGCATTCACATCATCTGCAGCACAAACACCTCTATCAATACTATAAAGTGATGCAAATTAAAACATGTTTTATATAGGTTAAATTTAGCCCTCCAGGTAGCGTTGGGGTGGTTAAATTTCAGGTGGGTTAAGCTGTGGAGCAATCATCAGGTGAGCACTTGAAGCTAACCTTCACGTGATCCACATTTTATCAATATCCCAATGTATAAGCCGAGCTTTTAGAATAATTATTTTAGTCAAAGAGAACTGTACAATATTTTTACGGGGATTGAAATCCGTGAATGATAAATTAACCAGCTAACATGGGTATGTGTGTACCAACTACTACCATAAATGATTTGTATTTATTTTTCCAATTTCTTGTTTCATGATATAAATACTGTACGAGTAATTACATGTACACACTTACTTCTTATTTATTTATTGGAGTCATATCTATTACAACAGGGTCATTAATCACACCCAGGTACAAGTACTTCATTTTTCTATTCATCTAAAATGTAAGAAGTGTTCATAACACTTATGAAACATCAACTTACTCAGTACATTTGCTAAAGTTTAGCACCTATGGGGCCTCATTATTATGCCCCATAGTTAAATACACACTCAACCAGGGGTATGAGTGGCAGGCACAGAATGATCAGTGCTAGATTGACCTGTGTCATCTTGCCTAAGAAAATTTGATAAAACTCAAGAAATCCCTAATTATAGTCAATTTTGCAAGGTCCCAGTAGTGGATCAGTGACCCGAGGTGAGTCATCTCTCTTTCCCTGATCCCAAAATTAACTAATTGACAACACCCTCCCAACCAAGCTGAAAATTAATTAATAAATTTATCTCGAAAAATCTTGAACACAAATCAGAAACACTCACAAGCATGTGCCCTCACACACACACATTTTACTTCACCTTTCTGCAGTAAAGGAGTTAAAAACAAAACACAGAATTCACTAAACAAACTATGAGTAATAATAGCCATAATTTCTTGTAATCAAACCAGTGACAATAAAAAATAAAACTGAAATACAAAGAGGAACAAGGTACAGATGCACTTTGCATTAAAAAGAGTTAAAGGTACAACTTCTAAAAGTTAATCAGTAAAATACTGGACAAACTAACTTTCTTCATCAAGGCTTCTAAACTTCATGAGAATTCTTATATTAAAAATGAAAGTGAGTACACCATATACTGTAACGACATTCTCAAAAACATTTCATTTTTCTTTTGGGGAATTATAACTGGGTACAGTAATCTATTTGATCCACAATATTCCCTAATGTTTTCCATTGGGGAAAGTACTACAGGTACAAAATCATTATCTTGTTTTTCTTTCTTGTAAACTACAGATATTCCTACTACACTACAGTATGTACAGTACTACACTACCGACACCTTTTATTTTCAAAAGCAGCTGCTCTAAACATAAAGTAACTTCAGTGCTGTTTCCAGTTTTTGAAAATTCTTTCGTTATATTTTCTGTAAAAAAAATTTCTTTCATACACCTCACTAATACTCTGTACTGTATATTGTAATGGGTACTTCAGGTAATTACACACTTGTGGATGGACACACAGGGCATATATAGGGTGGGGGGGGGGGGAGGATATGGCCATGCCCCCCCCCCCCTTGCACCTCCCCAAAACTCATTCAACCCAACGCAACCAGTTCACAAGGAAGTAAGTACAGTACATGTACTCAGAAATTATTCTGCCCCCTGCTTACACCAGTGGATGGAAATAAAATAATGTCTCAATCTTCAAGTCTTGGTCTCCCCCTTTTCAGAAACTTCTATATGCAACTGGATGAACATGAACCGAGTAGTTTATAAATCCAATCAGGTATCACCTTTCCTGAGATATACTCTATAACTATTCACATTTTAATCAAAATTTACAGTTGTCCTTTTTCTCTGTAACTAATACTGAATATTTATACAGTACAGTAGAGCTTTTATAATTTCCATTTTAACATTTTAATGTAGTAGCAAAAATTATTTCTATAAAATATCACTGAAAAGACATCAGGAAATACGTCAATACATTATACACACAATAATTCTAAAAAATACAATGCAGTATCAGCAACTTACCTGAATATTTTATTACACAAAAACTTCATTGATGCATTAAATTTGTTAGTGTGTTCAGAAAAATATTTTCTTATGCAATACACAAAAAAATAAGAAAATGGATGATGGGTAAAAAAATTTGAGTGCCTGGATGATCCAACATGCCAAAAATGTTCACCCAGGTGCATTACAGGCTAATCATTAAACTTAATACAAAACTATCAGGGAATTTCTTTTCCTGCTGAATCAGCAGACAATGTGCATCTATTATTTTCAAATGAGAGCATTATTCGAAAGATGCTTTGCGAAAATACTATGATCAGTTGCTGAATGAGGTGTGCAATGTGACACTGAAAGATGTGAAACCTGTTCAGAGCTAAGAGGGGTGGTTAGACACTGAGAGTATTGTACTGGCAAAAGTCTGCTTAGATAGGCTAAGATGGTTTGGGCATGTAGAGAGAATGGAGACCAGTTGGGTTAAGAGGTGTATGAGTCTGAATGTGGATGGTTGGAGAGTGAGGGATAGGCCAAGAATGACATAGAGAAAGATTGTAAAATTTGACCTTAGAGACAAACACCTGATGAGAGAGGCTGCAAGTGAGTATGCAGCATGGCCATCAGGTAGTCATGGTTAAACCACACATGCATGGCAAATGGCCGTATAACATTGATAATGATGAAATATTTTTCATCTCAAAATTTAACACATCTATCAACTGATAAATCCTTGTCACTGACCTGTTGAAGCTGTCGTGGTCTTTTTTGCATTGAGCCTTAAAGCCTTCAAGTGTCGTTGACCCGTCATGTGACCATCCAGTTGGTCCTGGGATGTAGCTGAAACATTACACAACTCGCAGAAAAACCTGAAACAACATATCAAATTGCCATTAATGTCTTTTTCATTTTTTTTAATAAAGTATAAAGTTTAAGACAATATATAAGCTTATAAACCAACCTTCCACACAAGATTATATATAATTATCACAGCAAACACTGCCATATTACTGTGTGGGATTGTTTCCTTCTTGATAGTAGACACTGTAATGGTAATGGTCAGGCCAGTGAACAAGTCACAAATCTAAATTCCAAGGCAGTCACAGGACCTCAAAATTAGTAAGGAGTAAATGCTCCTAAATTAAAAGGCACAAAGAACCATTATTAACCCCTTTTGTACAGTCCCCACTGAGCTTAAAAAAATTATCTGGCATTAGCCAAATAAAATACTGTATTAAGAGTGGTGTTCCCATAGTCAATTGGTTAGCGATCTACCTGAATGCAAAATACCAATTCTCTTGAACAATCTAACACTGTAACTTAGAACTAACATCGGGGCTACAAATACCCACATACAAAGGAAAGATGAAAAGGAAAAGTGTAAAACCATAGAAGATTCTGTATGGTGATAAATTCAGGATGCAAAGCCCAAATATTCACAATAAAGTTGCTTGTAGAAAAATAAAATGTTATAATTTAGAAACTGCAAGCAGCATTTATAAGATTGGAGAAGCCATTGACAGGGTGAGTTAAAAGATACTTGGAGGATTCGAATTCCGAGAGAAAAGTATATATTTCAGTCGAAATATTATCAAGACATAAGGCTTAACGTTTCAGCCATTTTGGCCCAAAATAAGATTTTGTTAAAAATCACAGTACTGTATAGGTACTCTTAAGCATGCTGATTCTAAATCCATGGTCCATGGTTTGATTGCAGGGTAATTAGTGGTTGTAGTGACGCTTGGAATACTTTAATGACATCGTTTCAATGCTAATTTCTCGCCAACTTTGGGTTTCCAAGGTGCGATTTTGGTGTTTTTATGTTATTCTGGAATTACTTTTTGTGGTGATCCGTAACTAAAAAATTATGGTGAATGACTTTGACTGGATGATTGATAAACGAAAATTAAAGATGAATACGATACTTAGAAAATCAAGGTGGTTAGATATGAGAGGAATGAGTACAATATAACATTGTGGAATTTGATAAATCATATAGAGGAGGAAAACTGAGCACATTAAATAGAAAAATTAGTGATGATAAAGATGATATACTGTATATACTGGAGGAATATATACAAAGATATTATAACAAAAGACTTCATAAATCTTATATAGCACACCTTCCTCTCTCCTTCACAGCATCAGGGTCTAGTGATTTTTCAGATATCTGATCAGACCCTTCCTCAGACGGAGGCTCCAGGTTAAGGCCTACTCTCTCCACTGAAACTCTTGGATCCGGTGGCCTGGAAAATGAATAACAAATGTAAGAAGATGTAACTGATGGAGCCAATGCGAGTGTTGATAACTGCTGGGAAATATATGAGATTACTAACTGGCTTTATGGCCAGGCCAGGATAGCACAGAGAATTAATTCATCATATTCATACATCTTCAAAATAATATATCAAAATAGCATCACATTCAAGGCAAAATAAATAATTGTTTTCAATAAGAGGTAAGTCATGAAATAATCTCAAAACACAAAATGCATGAATACACCTAAGCCCAATACTACTATAATAAAAATTTAATTAAAACACACAAGATACTAACTACAGTACAGTTTACAGAAACACTTACATTCTCTGCCACTTCCCAGTTTCTTTATTATAGTAGCCAGCCTTCAAAGGTTTGAGTCCGTGTAAGACCCGCTGATGGTTTCGACCCATGTAGTGTTGCTGTGCGTGTTGTTCCGAGGTAAAGCTTAAATCACAGCACTTGCAGTAGAGTTGGCTCACATCTAAGGGCTCCACTTTCTGCAGTAACATATGAATACAGTAGGTAATAACAACTCGTTCTGACATATTAATCTTGTAGCATTAAAATAGTACTGCACTGGAATTTTAAGATATTTTTCTTCATCACAAGAGTGTATAACATCAGCAATATTTCTAATATCATTAACTTCACAAACCTTTTTAGGAGTTGATAAATCAATTTTGGCCATTTTTGCAGGTGACTGACCATCCTTCCGAGCATGTTCAATTATGTAGTTTTTCACTTTTTTTCTATGTTGCTTCCCTTCATAGTGATTTTTGGCCTGGATTCGAGAATTGAGCTGAAATGACAGATAAATTATTTAAGATTATCATTAAAAGTTATACCATTATTAATATCACCAAATATAGCACAAAGGGAAAAATTAAGGCATTATAGCTTAAAACTTTATAAAACAATTACTAATTGTTTCATTACACACCTTCTCATACCACAATACAGTATCTCTTTGGAGGTTACAATTTACATACAGTACATGACTGTATTACCGGGTATTGCAGTTTAGGTCCTTCAATTGCCAGGACTACTAGGCATTACAGTACTGTTCCACACCATCAACAAATAGTTATATTTTACATACCTTTACATCACATAATTCACAAGAATTATTGTGAAACTTGGCAACAAGTTCCTCTGGAAGATTAGGATCAAACTCAACTGGTACTGAAAATTTGAAAATCAATAAATTATTATACTAGTGTATTAAGAAATTAATCAAACATCAATAAGTATATTCTAGCAGCCAATACCTATAATAATAACACTGTACATTTCACTTACATCTAAATTCCAGTGGATCGTGTACAAAAGGGAATATCAAATTATCTATAAAGCCCTTTAAAAGTTTTCATAAATATTACTGAAATTATGTCAAGTTAGGCAGAGGGTCATCATCTGGTTTATTGTTATTCTTTAAGAAGATTCATATCCAATTAAGAAGGCAGGAAAAATTAAGTTTATACAATGCTAAACACTAATGAAATCAAAGGTCTATAATCCTCATTTGAAGCATTGCAGTATTGTCAAAAAGGCTCTCAGGGAGACTACATGGCTAAATCAATGATGACAGTAGACACTGCAAACACTATAAACAAATTTTAACCAACCTACTATAATCTGTTCAAAATAAACTTGAGATTGTTTGGCTAAGTTGTGTCTGCTTGGTTGGGTTAGGTTAATTAATCTTTCACATTCAGATGATTTAATCCAGCAGTCACAGACCCAGCTGTAAAAAGATGAGGTACAGACCTTCCTAAGGAGACTTACAATCACATAAAAAAAATAAGAAGGAATAGAGTGGTGATTCTTTCCTTTACTGATGTCACGCTACATACAATACTTACAAGGTCTTTTGTTATTTGGTATCGACGGTTTAGTGATAGGTGGTGGTTCTTTCTCTTTGCGTCTTGGAACTAAAGGACTACCAACAATAGGTTCCAATGGTTTAATGGTGGAAGAATCTGATTCTAATCTCTCAGGTTCATCCTCATACTCAGATGGTCTTCTTGATGGAATACCACCATTGCTGTGTCTTGATCGTAAGTTTTGTTGATTCGACTGCTGTTCAGTTGTCTGAGGACGGTATGAAGTAGACGATTGAGTTTTTCTTTCCTGTGAATTTTGTGTCTGTTGGCGGCCTTGAGGCGGCTGATTTGGATAGGTCTGCTGCTGCTGAGGACGAGGAAGTCTAACGGGAGGGGGAGGAGGAGGAGGACGAAGTGCATTTGGTGGTGGCCTTATTGGGCGGAAGTGAGGTGGTGGCGGCGGTGGAGGGTGAAACGATGGTGGTTCTTGAGGTGGAAGAGGAGGAGGTGGAGGAGGATGTGGAGCACGACCATAACCTCCCCAATAGTTGCCATAGCCTCCATACGGTGATCTGTTAGGACCGTACATACCTGTTGAAAAAAATATATCGGGATAAATAAAAAATGAAAGAAAAATAGAAGACTAAGACTACACTAAAGGAAAACATCATTTCAAAATATCAAGCAAGATTTCCATGTACCAGGCCAATATTAAGGGAGTTTCTGTTAAAAGTAATCTTCCTATTTTATCTAAATAACAAGGTTTGTGAGGAAGGCAGACTTTTACATCTAAACTGTGAATTACTTTTGTTAATCTTCCATCCTATACTGCACCAAGTATTAATCTCCCTACATCACATTTCACCTATAAAATACATCTGCATGCAAACCAATAAAGCCAAACATAAGTTCCTATTGCGGAGAATGTACAGTACAGTATATATCGCTCAGATACAGCAAAAATTAAGTACGTACATCAAATGTTTCTGCATTCTGGCAATTTCATACAAGATGAATATTTAACAGTATGTACAGTATACCTAAATACAGTGTATCATGAGCAACACCAAGAAACTATATATACTCTCACAGCATACATGCACCATATACTGTACTGCATAGTTTATATACAGTACATACCTAACCAACTGTAAACACGTATAACAAGTTGGGCAGACCAGAGACTATGTAACCAGAAATTTCCAGCAAGGCAGACTAACCTAGCCTAAGCCTACAATCTGCGCAGCCAAGAATACCCAGCAAAGAAACCACTTCGGTTCTATAAACTTGCAAGAAACTTAAGACTTCCATAAAGAAGTTATCAAGAATAGTTATAGGAATCAAAAATTGTACAGTACAATAACACTGACATTCACACAAAAATGAAGATTGAGCTATTTTCTTAAGTAATCTGTAAACAACAACACTGAACTACAGTATGTATGTCTAATTTGGGGAGGAAAACACCCGAAAAATACCAAGTTACTTGAAAATAAATTGCTCAATGGTGCATTCCCACTAAAATAAAAAATAGACAAGACATTCTTTTAATACCATAGCAACAAAGGTGTGAAGGCAGTGGCAAACAGGAAAACAGTTGATCAATCAATTTTGTTCGATTCACTTAAAAATATTGAATTTCAACAAGATACAAATTTAAACTCTTTTAAAGGAAAGTTCTTTTCAATTTTGATGATAAGCTGGAAGAATTTTCCTAAATTTTATGTAGATTTGCATAATATGACTTAATATGGCAAGGGGTCCAGGGTAGGAAGTTAGCTTTGGTTAGGTTAGGTTCTGTACCAAATATCAAAATATACCGGTATGATAATAAAGTAGATAACAGATATGATGTGGTAATATCATGTGTAAATAGGTGCAGTAATTTGCACCCGAATTTCACTATGACACACCTCTGGCGGTCCGACTAATTACCCATATGTAGCCAAATATAGCCTCAATGAAGTCAAATGATGGTCGTACAAGCGTAATTCGGGCTGTGAATCACTTCTCGATTATTATTTGGTGTCATAAAGTCAAAAAAAATTGGTAAACTTAATTTAATCTGAGTTGTGTTAGGTTAGGTTAGGTTAGGTTAGGTTAGGTTAGGTTAAATTAGATTAGGTTAGGTTAGGTACATGCACTTGATCTATTAACTCAGATTAAATTAAGTTTACCAATTTTTTGTGACTTCGTCACACCAAATACTAGTCGAGGTTAGGTTAGGTACACGCACTCGATCTATTAACTCAGATTAAATTAAGTTTACCAATTTTTTGTGACTTTCTGACACCAAATGCTAGTCGAGAAGTGATTGGCAGTCCGATTTATTCACCTAGGACCATTATTTGACTTCATTCCGGCTATATTTGGCTACATTTGGGTACATTTGGGTAATTAGTTGGACCCCACCTCTGGTACAGATAACATTCACTCTCTCAACCTGATACCCTTGATAATGAGGTTTGGGTGTTAATAACGATTTTGCTATTTGCACTATCGAATGCAAATACTTTCGGCCTTCATTAAAAACACACATTTTAGTGAAAATACCAAGTAAAACTTGATTATTAAGTCCAGTGAGTCATTTTCGACATTTACGAGTGTTTAATCAGAAAATTCATACTACCAGTACATACTCAAGTAAGAAATTCTTCTAAGAATAAGAACAGTAAGACTACCTGAGGCTCTTTCTGTTGTTCACCTTCATTTGTGCATTTCAGGAAGACAGCCTTGGTGGCAATATTGTACACATGTGTCATGATTCTTCCAACTCAAATTAACATTTGGAAGATAATGATTACAGTTTTGTCAAATATAATACACCAAACAGCCTGCTGGTGTGTGTCAACTGTAAACTACCTCTTATTAGCTGTCAAGAGATAAATATATCACACCCTTGTCTTGTAAACCACACAAATGTCAGTAAAAGGTTAATGTTTCGAGAATTATAAATCCAATAGAATAAACCCGCACTCCTACTACAGACAAAGGTGTAAATGACAGTATTCTACTGCAAGATAGGCTTTCCTACCTGTCAAATATCAAACATGAGATTTTTCTTAAGCCTCGCCCTTTAATAACCTCGCCTTAGCCACCGGGGGAAGCCCAGCACAATAACCATCTCGTTAAACAAAATGGTACACTATATCGTCAAAATTATCCGCACAATATAACACTTACTTGTCATATCTCGCCCTCACGATGATATATATCCCGAGGCACTTTCCCACTGAGGAAAAATTCTGATTATTTAATGGGAGCTGTTGAACACCTCTCAGCTGATCGAAGGGTAAACAAACATTTTGTCTTGGTACGTTTTCTGTGTAACAACTTCAGCCTCACCTGTACATTCTTTTCACAATTGGCAGCGTTTCATGACAAGTAAGCGTACAAGAAATCTTTACAATACTAAAAATACCACGAAGTATTCATGGGCCTTTAAAGTCATCTTTTTACGAATGCCGTTCTCATGTTAAGAACGAGAGAGGATCATCAACCACTACACACGTGTTCTACTTCCTGTTATCTGTTTCACACTGAAAAAGTTTACAATTAAATATTATTTTTCTTTTGTATTGTTTCTTGTAAGATAACATAATAACCACCACGGAAGAATACAAAATTCTTCCGCATGTATTTTTTTAATAAACATTTGGCCCACGAATATAACTATGACAATTTGGATATAGTTTACTGTACAGGTCTGACGCACTGGTCTTGGAAACTTCATTGGAAAAAATATAAATGTACAATCAACCTTTTACCTCGTTGAAGGACACTTTTACTGACATCGGGTAGGTGAGGGTAGCGACACGCTCCCAGGACAATTTGAGACTTTACTTGGGGAACGTTTCCCAGATGATTGGTATTACATTTATATGCTTAGCGGGCACTTAACGCCGTTTTAACGTTGAATCTACCTTAAATTAAAATCCATCGTCATTTTCCCGTCTACTCAATACCGCAGTTTTTGTTGTGCGCTGTTTTCTTGTGATCTTTGATTGTATAGCATGGGTGTTGGTATATAGTAAGCGAGTCTGTGGTTTATGACATATTCAGAGCTCTGTAATTAAACTTAACATCTATTTTTTCCTCTTTTAAGAACTAAGAGGACCCTGCAAATGACAAGAGTTGGTGTAGCTTGCTATGATGAATTGATGTTCTGCCCAATTCTTGTCCAGTTTTATTTTGAATTCAACTATTTTATGCTTATATTTGGCTCACCAAACTTATTTGATTTCAATAAAATTTTTCCAAAATATATCTAGCGTTGTATAAAATATAAATATATGAATATTGTATGTTTTTATTTTAATATATTTTGTGGATCGTCGTGGTGTGTGGTGGCGCCGCTGTCGCTGTTTACTTTCCGCTAGGCGGCGCCACCGTCCGTCCTTTCAGTAAACAAGGCCAAGATTATGGTAAGAGCACGCAGACTCTCCAGTAATTGTTGAGTTTTGTGACTATCCTGTGTCGTATATTTAAGTGATTAAGTCTAAGATTATTTCCTAGTAATGTGTGAGTACGATTTCATTAATTGTGGTGTTATTGGTGTGGTAGTTCTTCAGATGAAAAGTGATAAATATTGCACTTGGGTTTTAGGGCATGGATGTCACTGGTGACCGTATAAAGATTTCAGATTAAGCAAGGGTTATTATTTGAACTTATTGGTGTTCCCTAGATTGATTGAGGGTCTCCACTCGGTAATGAATGTCAACAATTAAAAAGAAGAGCCAATATCGGTATGTTTTTCGTGGAATAAACACTTCCATAATGCCGAACTTTTATTGTTATGATGCGAGTTGTGAAGTTTAATACTAGTGGTAAATACTTTCTTATTTCTCAACCAGTGCATCATTCATATTTTCCACTTGTTTTCTTTGGATGATAGTAATAGAAACAATGTAGCCTCTTTTTTCTTTAAAGTAATTACCCCCCTGATGAAAGTCTCCGTCATTATTTTGATAGGTTTACAAAGACTAGATTCACAATTTATAGTTTTAAGAGCGGACAGTAACACGCGGCACTACGGGAGATTTTGCGGTGGAATGATTACAGTAAAAAAAATTGTTGTCTACAAAGCACATGGAACTACCGCCACAAAATGCACACCAAATTACACATGACAATGTCGTCTCTTCTTTTTGACTTATAATTAATATAGTCTCTTCATTTACAGTCCACCCACAAAAAAAAGACGAGGAAGCTTCGTGGACACGTGAGCCACGGTCATGGCCGTGTTGGTAAGCATGTAAACATTTGTTTATCGCCTGTTTATAGATAAGCTGTCTAAAAGTTTATTTTATGTTTTCATTTGTTTTAAAAATGTAGTTTTAAAGTCATTCATTGAGATTTGTGTTAATTAACTTAAGAGGCTGAAGGGAGTTTTAGATAAGCATCAGGGGTAAAATATTTGATGTGGAATGCGAGAAGCTGCTTCGTGGTTATACTGTATACAATTACCGTAAATTTATTGCCCTGTTTATGATATTTGATGAGCATTGAACTGATTTGGTCAAAAGTATTTTCAGACTTGTAATGGGTGCAGTGATAAGATGTTTCCCTTATTTCTAATGTTACAGTACCTGGATCTTGTGGATCTTATTTATAGCACCACTGTCCTTTTGTAATGTTCTAAAGAAGCCCATGAATAGAAGAACATAACAAATTGTCTCACTTCATGTACAGGGCTATACTTAGAGTGACTTGAACTAGCTAGGCAGATGTGAATTTTGCTGCTTGTTTTCTCATGAGCCAATTCCATGCTCCTTGATTTAGATTATAAACAAATTTTAATTGGGTCCCCTTAATTTGGTTTGTAAATTTTTGTGTATTTTACCCACAGGCAAGCATCGTAAGCATCCTGGTGGTCGCGGTAATGCCGGTGGTCAGCACCACCACAGAATAAACTTTGACAAATACCATCCTGGTTATTTTGGAAAGGTAAAATACTATATATTTAGGAGTTCTTATAAAATGCAGTTAATATAAAGGTGTTGAAAAATGTTTTGGGTAATGGTCTGTATTTCGGTGGATGAATTTCTCTTGGTGATATTACCATTAATGAATATGCTCATGATGGCTGTTGGAATTTGATTGATAGAAAGGAAAAAAATTACCTTTTCATAATTGCATTTTAAAATTTTTTTCTCTCTGGTAATACATAAGCGAGAACAATTAATATTAAGGTCTGAACAGATTTGAAAAAAAAGCTCTTATTACTCTCATTGTTTTTTAATATCAACAGGTTGGTATGCGAGGGTTCCATGATCGCCCGAGCCACAGATGGGCCCCTATTATCAATCTAGACAAATTGTGGTCCTTGGTGTCAGAGCAGACAAGAACCAATTATGCCAAGATCCCCAAGAAGGCACCAGTCATCAATGTTGTCAAATCTGTAAGTTTTTTTTTTTTTTTTTTTTTAGTTATTGAATTAGATGATGGCTATACATTTTCTTCATAGATAACCTTTACCTAATGGGACATACATTCCTTCGGGGGAAAATTTGCCCCTAAGATGTGATAAAACCACACTGAGAAATGCAATACAGTAAACATTCCCTTCCAATGTTAATTAGTTTCACTTCCAAAATGAAAACTATGAATGTAAACAGAAGCAAAAAGTAAAGTTTAATGGTAAACGTTGGGAAATACTACCAAGTGATTGTCAACTGTCTGTTTCTTCATGACCTATAGCATCATAGACTGGTTATAAATGTTAATAGCATGATTTATTGCACAGCTCATAACATTTGATGTTTATTATTATGATCATGCTGTATATGGTATATTCTTTTTGCGATACATTTACTATAGCTACCTGTCAAAAGGTATCATTGTAACTAAATCCTAGAAAACGCTTCATGGTTTACCCACACTACCCGGAGAGAGAATTATATATATATATATTCATTAAAAAGACTTGTACAGTACCTTCAAGAAGTTAAGATAACAATGACGATGATACAGTACTAAGGGCCAATTGCAAGAACAGTTATAGGGTGTACGGGGCCATTTACGATGACCTTCTTGCCCTGGTCTCTTTTTCAGCAATATCGCCTTTAACACATGGAATTCTGCACTTTTCTTAGCTTTGGAGGAGTCTCGAAACAAGTTTCCTGGTGGGAATTATTAGCTGGGGCTGTACTCAAAATACCAAAACTTCGAGATCTCTCCAGAGCTTCAAAAGGGTGGTATAACTGAAACAAGATCAGGGCAAGAAGGTCATCGTAAATGGCGTCGTACACCCCACGACTGTTCTTGCAATTGGCCCTAAATGTGATAACAAAATGAACAAATATTACATGATGACATTGTGAACGGGCGGACGGAATTTTTGTGTCGAGTGTTCACTACTGATGTGTGAAATACCCATTATCTTCCAGTGAATTGTTGCAGAAATTAATTGTGTTCTTTTGGTATTCCAGGGTTATTACAAAGTCCTGGGCAAGGGTAATCTGCCTAAGCAGCCACTTATTGTGAAAGCAAAGTTCTTCTCCCGCAAAGCTGAACAGAAAATCAAATCTGTTGGTGGCTGCTGTGTACTAGTGGCATAGGTAAGAACTTGAGTTCAAAATAATATAACCAGATGATTACTAATTTTTAATGATGACTGTGTGAACGGGCGGACAGAATTCCTTTGTTGAGTGTTCACTTCTGAAATATTGTATATTGAAAGTTGGTCAATATTTTGTACCATATTGAAAACTTAAAAGTATACTTTTATTTCAGGTATACTCTCAAGCAGATGATATCCAACATCATTTTTATTTTAAAGCTGTGGAAGCCATTTATCATTGAGTCATCTACGTGAGAAGTAAAGTTGAAAAAAAAAGTGTATTTTCCTTACCTTCTCTTGATAAATATCACCTTTAACTCCTCTCTGCCTCTATAGGCTGAATCATGCGCTTCTAACTTAGTAGAGAGAAATCCCATTGCCTAGAATTTTAAATGAAATTGCATTATGTACTAATGAAAGCATAAACCTAGAATTGTTAAAATGCCATTGACCTACAAGTTATATTGTCCAGAAATCTAAAGTTACTTCTGTATATGTATAGGAAACAATCTTAATGTTCTGGTACTGTCCACTGGTGTTTTATGTGCTTCACCTTATTGTACATATCAATTATTGTTTGGGAAATTTAAAGCAGTTCTATGGGGTACAGCAGCTAAGAGGATACGGTGCTTGATTCTTGTCTGAGCATCCCAGTCTGAGGCTCCATCTCGCTTGTAGTCAAGGAGGGGATGGTGTCTGCTACCTAACCTTGATTCGAGGAGCAGACAGCTCATTTACAGGGGATGTATTGCTCTCTTGGATGTAATATGTAATCAATCTGTCCAAAGGGTCTTTGCTGTGATCCCAGGGCACCTCCAGTCCATATGTGCCAAACACATTATTTGGGGAGGTGAAGATCATTGAGCAGTGCTGCCTAGTGTACCAAAGGCTTATAGTATACTGCAAGCTGTATCCATACTATCCCTAACAGACCTTTAGGACCCCTTTTTGCTTAATGACTCTTAGGTGCCCATGAAACATACAGGAGGGGCAGATGTATTGGTGGTGGACATCTTTGTACCTCACTCCAAGCATGTTTAATTCTTCAGACAACATACAGTACTTGTAATGGTAAGGTTAAATAGTCAGATTATCTTGGAATAAAGTGAAAAATAAAATGCATATAAGGATATAATAGCAACTGAAGCTACTCGTATGAATACCGGTATACTGAGAGGAGGAGACCCTCTTGTGTTTCATATCCACTTCCAGGATCCCACAATCCATTTCATGCTGAGACAGGATAACATCAATGGACAACAAGGCTTTGGGTGCATCTGAAATGACTGAGGAAGCATTACCTTCAGATGAATATGCAGTAAGGAAAGTAAGTGTGAACCACAGTTGTCAGTGTAAAGATTTAAATGATTTACATATAATTATTAATTATTTATTCTTCATAATGATCTGATGTACAGTATTTTACTTGAGCCCTATCCAGCAAGGCATATGGAATTATGCTTGCCTGTATGCTCTTATTACTAGGTTAAGAATGGGAAATCATTTATTGCTTCAAGTGTACAGTACATAATATCATTTTACCTATCCAAAGATATCAATGTAGCTTAATCAAAGAAAAGAAAAGACTAGGATTTATCCACTACCTGGCGAGATGTTTTTGGCACAAGCCTTCATTAAAAATCTCGGTGGATTCGCGAACGTAAATGCCATTATTTTTCACACCCTTAATAGCATTACGTGATGACATGTGAACGGGCGGACGGAATTTCTGTGTCGAGTGTTCACAACTGATTTTACCATTTCCATAATTATGAATTGTCTTATTGCAAGAAATAATTCCCTTCTTTTGGTATTTCAGATGATTTCAAGGCCCTCATAGAAATTAGCTTAGGAGTTAGTTGCTGTCAAGGCAAAAAAAAATCTGCAAAAACCAGGAACAAAGGCGGAAGTGAACCTTACTAATAATATAGCATGCTGGGAAGTTATCCACCAAGGCCATGGATGCATCTTGAAGTGACTGAGGAAGCACTGCTCTCCTCAGATGAATATGCAGTAAGTTTTTGGAGCCGATTATGCACAACTTTTCAACAGTTTAAATTTAGTTCTTATTATTTATTCTTCATAACTGATCTGATGTACAGTATTTTTCTTGAGCCCTATCCAGCGAGGCATATGGTATTGTTCTTGTATGTATACTGTACTCCTAAAATCTTTTGACAATCAATTCTACAGTGTTCATTTGGATTAACATTACACTTGGAAGATTGTGTACAACTGTCGCCGAAGTTGGACTAAAAGTTCAACACATGGTCGTGGTCAGGAGAATGTGTTTGGCACAGGCCTTCATTCAAAATCTCAGTGGTTTCTTAAAAGTAAATGCCATTATTTTTCACACTATTAATAGCATTACGTGATGACGTGTGAACGGGCGGACGGAACTTGTGTGTCGAGTGTTCATGGCTGATTTGTGATGTACCCATTACCTTAAATAGTACTGTAATATTGCAAGAATTAACAAAGTTCTTTTGATATTACAGGGTCCTAGGAGGCAAACTAAGCATCTTGTTATTGTCAAAGCAATTTCCTCAACCACAATGCTGAACAGAGGATAAATTCTGCTGGTCTCGGAGGTAAGAACTTTTATACCAAATTTAGTTTGTCCAATAATCCACTTTGCTTTTAATGATGACTTTGTGAACGGGCGGACAGAAAATGCTTGTTGAGTGTTCAATTCTGATCATAGAAAGGGAAGGCATTATTTATTAAAAATATGGAAATATTTACTGTATTTTTGTTTTTTCAGGAATTTCACAAATACTCGAGCAGGAAAAATTCAAGAACGTTATTCTCCATCGCCAATCTTAATTTGAAACCAAGGACATCTTGTTATTGTCAAATCAAATTTCCTCAACTACAATGCCTAACAGAGGATAAATTCTGCTGGTCTCGGAGGTAAGAACTTTTATACCAAATTTAGTTTGTCCAATAATCCACTTTGCTTTTAATGATGACTTTGTGAACGGGCGGACAGAAAATGCTTGTTGAGTGTTCAATTCTGATCATAGAAAGGGAAGGCATTATTTATTAAAAATATGGAAATATTTACTGTATTTTTGTTTTTTCAGGAATGTGTCAAATACTCAAGCAGGAAAAATTCAAGAACGTTAATCTCCATCACTAATGTTAATTTGAAGCCGAGGAAATTAATGGAGTGTTTTTTTGTTTTTGTTTTTCATTAAAGTATGCAGAAGTGTTTTCTTGTCTGTTTTTTGGAACACTTTCAACCCCCCTTTTTTCAGTACTGTATAAGCTCAATTATGTTTAAAGCTTTACAAAGAGAAACCTAATTGCCAATTATAAAGAAAAGTAATCTTCAAGCCATAAACAAACTAAAAAAATCCTGTAATCTTTGTGAGTGATGTTCTAAAAAAATATAAAAACAAATTTAAGGTAAACGGTAAAGAAGCAAAAATTTTAACATACCTAGATATTAGTGAGCACAAAGACAGAGAAATTTAAGAAATGGAAGAGTGGAATTGTGTAAAGATGATCAGGGAGTATATATGGCAAAAACAAAAGTACTGATTAGTGATGTAGGTGAGGGACCTTGGTAAATGACCATGTACTAGCAGCAACTCTACAATATGCAATAGGTGGAATAGACTGCAGGTTTTTTGACATCAGTGTTCTCTATGTAAAAGTAATAAGCCCACAGACGCTGGAGAAACTCAACATTGAGGATATGTCCCTAGCCTGTGTCCAATAGTTCTTGTTACGTGGGTGATGAAGCCTGCTCAGTTACAGAAGTCTTCAAATGGCTAGAGGTAGTTGCTGCCTTATTGGCAGCAAGAGGTCCTTCCCTCCTCAAAGAAAGAATGGATGCAGCTAATATGGGAAGTGGCATGTTAAAGGGGAATGACAAGCAGACTGAAATGAGAACAGCAAGGGGTGTGCAATGTCATGCTGTAAGACAAGAGGTCCTATTCAGGGTGACTGGATACTGATAGTTCTGTATCGAGAGAAGCTGAGGTATATGCAGGTAGAGAGAATGGATGAGACCTATTGGGCCTAAAGGTGCAGTTGCGGAAATGTGTCCCTACAACCCGTCTCCAAACTGCAATGTTTCAATAGTAGTATAGCATCACTATGAATAAATCGTGTACAACTACGTTGTTACACAACCAATACCGGGTACCCATTCATTCAGTGTTACTACGACATTGCCATTTGGAGACATGGTGTGGGAACACATTTCTGCAATTGTAGCATGACCTGGGAGTGTGTGAGAACACAGGTATGAGATAGGACAATGCAGCATTAAGTCATGGGTGCAAAACTGGATTACCCTGTGTGCAGCATTGAGAACTGCCAACAAGTAATTGTCATAAAATGTTTGCCATCAATATGGGTTGTGCTTTCATTAGAAAATAGGGTGTTTATACGAACTCCCAATACCTTGGATCTTTTCTATGATGCATTAGTTATCCAAATGAGATCTCGGTATTTATGCAATACTCAATGAATTTGGATATATTTAATTATATTGATGCTGAACTGAATACAATACTGTATTACTTGGATGAAAAGACATGTAAAAGCACTGGTTTTGCAGTTACCTGGTGAACAGGATATCCAAGACCTTTCTTAACATTCTTAAAAATCATTCATAAATAAGCAGAGTAAAGTTCAGTCCTTATGCATTTTTTCTTAACATTTTGTAAGAAATTAAGCTTCCAAAAGTATCCCTCTTGACAATCAAATGTCAGTTCTATCTAAAATAATCCACAATGTCCATAAACACCTTTTAGTCAAACATATTGGTTAAGAAAAAAGTCCTAATTAACTAATATTGCATATTAGCTATCACCATACACCTGAGTACCTACAGTATATCTTAATTTTTAGAGTACCTGTAAGAACTTAATGTTTAATTTCATGTCCACGTTGGTAAACTTGGATGTTTTCTGACAATCATATGTTACTCAATCATCTCTGCTCCCTCTCCCATTGGGTCAACCTCAATATGCAGATCTTCCAGCATTTCCTCTACACTCACTTGAGGCATTTCCCCAGCTTCACTTTCACTGTCCATTGTACATATCTTTGCACTGTCACGATAAATGTTGACATTTGTACGGTACTGTGGATCTTCTTCCAAATCCTCCAGGAAGTCAGTGTAATCCCTGAAAGAGAAAATAGTTCAAGCTTTTTCTCCAAAATAAAAAATTTGGAAATATAGTACAACATACAGCTCCCATGAACTAAACACAAATTGGTCAAATAAGAGTACTGTATACAGTATTACCCCGCCTAACGCGGTTTCACTTAACGCGTTTTATCATATACGCGGTGCCTCGCCAGAGCTGAACTTTCACTTAACGCGGAATTTTTCATCATATACGCGGGAAGCGGCGCGGGCACGATGCGCACAAGGTCGCCCAGTCATCAAAACATTACCGAGTTCTTCACCCGCCACCCACCACAGCCGGCCCAAGTCAGTGATAGTGATAATTATAGTGAGGATATGGACTTATATGGCCTTTGAGGGGTTTGACAAAGAGGCCCTGCAAGCCTCTGTGGTGGATAGTGATACAATTGATACAAGTGATACAGGTGAGGGCCAATAATCTGCCCTCTGCCTCGGAACCAACCCCCCATCCCCGTGTGCCCAGCCATCTTTTCTACTAATGCAAGTGTTAAAAAACCTAATATTATTGATATTTCTCTTAATTATTAATTGTGTGTGCATACCATCATAAAGTTAAGATAAAATTTTTACTACAACATAGTTGTGTGTCGTCAAAAAGTGGAGTTTGGGGGTCGGGCCAGTCTCTATTGGAATTAATCCCATATGTTCTGTTGTTCACTTAACGCGGTACCCTGTGGGTTCAATTGACCGCGTTAAGCGGGGTACCACTGTACTTAACCAAAGAGTTGTGAGACAATCACCATTTAACAAAACTCAAACTTCTATTAACAGCAAAACCTACCACAAAACATTTTAGTTAATACTTGAAAATTTTCAATTTTCATCAACAATGGGGTTTTAATTTTTGCTATACTACGGCTGAACAATAAGGCCATGATGCTAACAAAAGAGCAGAAACAATGAAGTCATAAAGATTGCTGGAAAATACCTGATCTATACTTTTACTATTAACTGTTCATGTCAAAAAAGAACATTGTGTAACCAGTTATGTTTGCAAACCACAAAAGCCTCATTGTTGCCAAAATCAGCCAACTAGCCTCAAATCTAAATGGATATTCCAAGAATAGTTAAAAAGATTTTATTATTCTATAATGAATACGTTTAGCATAATTCTGACAAACAAATTGGGGTACAACAGGTGTAAATCAATGCCCCACTGCATATGCAAGAAAGCATATACTGTACAGTAAGTCCTCGCTTAACGTAGGGGTTACGTTCCTAAAAACGTGACATTATACGAAACGTTAAGCGGATAAATTTTCCCCTTAAGAAATAGATAAAATATGGGAGTTACGTTCCTGAGCCTCCCTTCGGCCCATAAAATACATTAAATATACAGAAAATCATTGCCATTTCTATTAGAAAATAATGCATACATATACAACTACGGTACTAAGTTTGTATTGGTACTCACCGATGGGTGGAGGTGGTAGAGCTAGTGTGTGGTGGGCAGTGAGCAAAGGAGGTGGATGGCAGGAGGGGAGGAGTATGGCAGGAGCAGAGGACGAGGTTGGCGAGTCACTGAGACTGCGCCAAACCGAGAGGGTGATGCACCGTAAAATGTAGTCTGTGACGACGCAAAACAACGTAGTATCGGATCACCGAGACGTCAAACGAATTTTTGGTCTAAGGTTTAGCGACGTAGTACCGAAGCAACGTTAAGCGCGAACTTATTGTATATACATACGAAGCAAAATTGTACATTAAAATACTGAACTTAAAAAAAATATATTCAGAACACATACAGCTCATAAACATTAAATGGTAAAAGCAAATAGCAACAAAATTATTAAAGAATTTAACATACTTATTCTGGCTGTGTGCATCATCATCAAGACCAAGGTGCTTCAACTTCCAACGGCGACGACGATTCCGCGTGGCCTTATCAGCAAATATTTTCTTTACAAGTATAACATCAGGAACCACATCTGGATTCATTTTATCCACGTTAACATCGTTGACATTGGATAATCGAAGGTCAAAACTGAAAGTAATGCATTTTTGAGGAAAGCTTTCTAAATTTAAGGTGATGCATACATACAACGTAAGAAAATCAATAGGATTCTTGAAAAATTTCTCTATTTCTACCTCACTACAATAATAATGTCTGTATAAAATCAATAAAGAATGAAGGTACCTATACATACTAATTGGAGTAAAGAATTGTAATTAAATAGCAAAAAACTGTGTCAGCAATTTGTATATCATACCAAATGTTTCAAAGACTGGAGACTGTGTAAGAAGACTGCCATAACCAAACCATTAATGCTGGAAATTTATAATGTTGACAAAACTGAGTTATCACAAATGCTAGCTCAATGTCAAAATACATTAGTCACAACATTAACACTAGTGCATAGAATTCTCTTAAATTTGCCCTGTATGTCACTAGACTTGTATGAAAGATCACAGCCAGCAAATCTTGTACCCTAAAATATTTGAAGGTGAATACAGTTAAAAAAAAAAGTCTAAATATCAATAAAGGAGATGGCAGAATGAAGAACAAGAATTGCCTGTGGAAACTGATAACCTTTACATTATAGGAAAATAACTGACTTTTGTGATTGTATACTCCAGAATGACTAATCAGTGAAAAAAAATCTGTTTTCTGCTGGAAGACATTGTATAACTACTCACCCTAAAACAGAATCTCCAGGGTTAAGTATGTGACCAAGATGGGATCTACAGAAGATCAAGTTGTCTGAGCCCAGTTCACTTGCTCGCTGTACCCATACCTCTGCTACCTGATGCTGTGGAGAAAATGAAGCCAGCAATTAATGATTGTAGATATATGTACAAGATATACTGTATACATAAATGTGTAGCAATGACATATGATACAAAATATTCTAAACTACTTGAGACTTGAACCCAAGACCTCACACCTTGCTGTACTTAATTTCATGTGTTACTTTGGCTTTTTTGAAGTTATAATAAAAATATTCAGACATCTCTTACTTACTATATTTTCTTGTTTGAATTAAGATTTAATTACCAGGATTCACCTGTTTTGAAATCCTTTAATATAGCTCATTTTCACCTACTT